CCTGATGCTCTGAGGGAGCCAGGATGGCGGAAGAGAGAGCCATGGAATCAAAGAATCATCATGGTGGGAAAAGACGTCCAGGATCTCAAGTCCAAGCGTAAACCCCTCACCACCGTGCCTGCTAAACCATGTCCCTAGCTGCCTGCGAGCCCCTGGAGCTGCACTGCTGTTCCCGGGACCGCCTCTGGGGACCTTCTCATGTCTGCCCCGGGGACATTTTTAACCCTATTGAAATATGTAGTTTAAAAACAGCTCCCAGGCACAAGTCCTCACCCAGCTACACTGAGCGTAGGAGCACTTGGCCTGGTGCCGTTGTGTGCCTCAGCTGTGCCTCTCCTCTCGCAGAGCCTCCCGGTGCTCCGCGTGAGCGCGTTTATAAACCCAACGCTCAGGCCAACGAGGTCCACGCTCATGCGGAGCCAGGATGGGATTCTCAGGAAGGAGGGGATCATAGCAGCCGGGCTGCTCCTGCCCAGGCATATTTATAGCAGCATCGCACAGTGGGATGGGGTGGTCTGGGACCCAGGCTGGCAGATCAGGATCCTTGTCACGCGTGGCCAAGGGAAGCATCTCCTGCCTTTGCAGGTGCTTTGCTCCAGTGGTGTTGATGAGGCGATTGGCCCGGGAGAAGACTTTCGCCGGAGTAATGAGCAGGTTACCTCTGTCAAAGGCTCTTGCTTATTCACAGTTTTAATTCTCTGTTTTAACTCATACTTTATATTTGTACAATTTCCCAATGAACTTACATACCTGTTTCTGCTCCTTTTCAGTCTGTGGAATAAAAGAAAAGCGATTCTGACAGAACTAAGCAACAGGATTCAAGACAAATTTTATAGAGTCAGTACTCAAAATGTCTGACACTGAACTAAACATTTAGTTTATCTGACTGGTATTATTTAGCCTAATAATTCTGTCCTTTACATGATTTTTATTTTTAACTTATTTCCCAAGGAACTGAAACGTTTATGATTGTGCTGCCTGTTATGTGTTTCTCTGACTTTGCTCACTAATCACTCTTGAAGCTGTTGTCTGAGTTCAGACAAATCTGACAGGTGAAGTTCCTACAAATTTTGTGGAAATCAGTGGCTGTACAATATAATAGATCTGCTGTTTAGGGGAAAGCAGTTACAAATCGGGTCTGATCCATCCTGAGAGCTAGCTGGCCAATCAGCAAAATAGTAGACAAAGATCCATACAAAAAAAAACATGGCTCCATTAGTTTCATTGCCCAGGAAAAAAAAAATTTGTTTCTTTGGGTTTTTTTGTTGTTGTTGTTGTTGTTTTGTTTTGTTTTTCATGGAGAACATCTGAGGTCAGACAGAACTAAGAACTGATTTGTGTTATTTTAATTACAACCACTCAGTGTTTAACTAGGAATTCATAACATTAGCTTCTGAAAAGAAGTATGATTTAATGAATGTGGACAACATAAAAAGAGATACTGAACTGTGAATGTTGCT